CACAAAGCACGGTCCTGAGCCACCTGCATCCATCGACTTCCTGCATGTCTTACCAGGTCGTCACTCCATCTCGTGGGGGGACGCCCTACACTTCGCCTACCGGTACGAGGCTGCCACTCGAGAACCTTTCTTCCCCATCGGTTGTCGGTTCTTCGAGCTATATGGCCGGCCCACTGCCACTTCAGCTTACTAATCCGTTGGGCTATGTCGGTTACTCTGGTTCTACTGCGGATATCCTCATTCCTAAGTTTATCACGCAGAGAAACTCCGAGCATAGCTCTCTCCATAGCTCGCTGAGCGACCTTGAGCTTCCTCATACGGCCAGCAGTGAAGGACCACGTCTCAGTTCCATAAGTCATCACTGGCAACACGCACTGGTTGTACAATTTCGTTTTCAGGTTTTGAGGTATGTCTGACGAGAAGATGTGTCGTAGCTTCCCGAACGCTGCCCAGCCGAGTTGAATCTGTCGATTGACCTCTCGGTCGAAGTTGGACTTACCTAGTCGGACTATTTGTCCCAGGTAAACATACTCGTCAACAACTTCGAGCTTAGTGCTCCCAACAACTACCGGCATAGGTGTGACATGGACATTGAACATGATCTTTGTTTTGTCCATGTTCATCTTAAGACCTATCCGTTGGGAAACACTATCGAGGTCATTGAGCATAGTGCTTAGGTCCTCCAGCGATTCTGCCATAAGGACTATATCGTCGGCAAATCGAAGGTGAGTGATGTACTCGCCATTGATGTTGATACCGTATCCTTTCCAGTCCAGAAGCTTGAAAATGTCTTCCAATGCAGCGGTGAAGAGTTTCGGGGATATGACGTCACCCTGTCTTACACCTCTCTGCAATTGGATAGGTTTCGTACTCTGGTTCTGTACTCGGATAGCCATCATAGCCCTACTGTACAAGCACTTCAACACTTCGATATACCGACAGTCAACTTGGCACCGCTGAAGGGACTGCAGCACCGCCCAAATTTCGACGGAATCAAAGGCTTTCTCATAGTCCACATACGCCAGACATAGTGGCAAATTGTACTCTTCGGACTTCTGTACAATTTGCCGAAGGGTATGTATGTGGTCTATGGTGCTAAAGCCCTTTCGAAAACCGGCTTGTTCGGGAGGCTGGAAGTCGTCAAGTCTGCGCGCGAGACGATTCGTAATGACTCTCGAAAACAGCACGTAGACGCGGCTCAGAAGGGAAATCGGTCGGTAGTTCTTCAAGAGAGCGTTGTCACCTTTCTTGAAGAACAAGACCACCGCACTTCTGCTCCACGCCTCCGGTGTAATGCCACCATGGAGGACGGAATTAAAGAGCTTCTGAAGGACTTCAAGTACCGGTCTTCCACCCGCTTTCAGAAGCTCCGCTGTAATTCCATCCTCGCCTGGGGCCTTACCGTTTTTAAGGTGCTGGAGAGCCATTCTAATCTCGCTTAGACTGACGTCCGGGATATCTTCGGAATAGTATCGGATGAGACTCGCTCTTGGATCGTTACTCACACTTGCGTGTGGCTCCAACGATGACGTGTACAGCTGCCCATAGAACCTCTCAATCTCACTCAAAATCTCAGGTGTCCCGGAAACGATGCTGCCACATTCTGTCTTCAGCTTTGACAGGTGGCTCTTTCTGGCAGACAAGTCTCTTTCTGACTCTTTCTCTTTCCGCCGTGTAGTGGCGGTCAAGAATACCACTACCCCATATCCTCCCGTGGGTGTCGTAAAAGGCGACAAAGGGAAACAGGCAGGAGATGGGCAGCAGCATCTTCCTGATAATAGCCAAAATTACAATAAAAAAACTGCGGTTGCCAACCCGCTCGCCAAGCGTGACAACTATGGCAATATACCCCCCATAATGAAAGTTACGAAGAGACGGCCCCCAGTCCCCGGCGGCCCCGCTATTCCTGGCTACGGTGGCGACCATGGTAACGGCGGGGCAGGGGGTGCTAAGAATCTCCGGTGGAGGTTCGGTTGCTACCTTAGACGACTCGACCTGGCAACGTACAACGCACGCACCCTGAGGACTGACGAGAAGATCGTGGAGCTGGAAGAAGAGATAGACAAGTTGCGCTGGCATATTATAGGATTATCAGAAGTCCGAAGAGAGGGGGAGGACACGGTAATCCTCGAATCCGGCAACTTGCTCTATCACCGGGAGGGCGACCATCTGTCCCAAGGAGGTGTCGGATTTATCGTCCACAAGTCTCTCGTTAACAACGTTGTAAAGATCGGGAGTGTGTCGACGAGGGTTGCGTACCTTATACTCAGAATCACCAAACGGTATTCGCTGAAGGTCATACAGGTTTACGCACCAACCTCGGCACACCCCGATGGGGAGGTGGAGGAAATGTATGAGGATATCTCAAGAGCCATGCATTCCTCCAAAACCCAATATACGGTGTTAATGGGAGACTTCAATGCAAAACTAGGCACAAGAGAGAACGGTGAGCTGAAAGTAGGGAAATTTGGAATAGGGCAACGGAACCCAAGGGGCCAGCAGCTGGCCGACTTCATGGAGAAAGAGGGACTCTTTATGATGAACTCTTTCTTCCAGAAGCGGCCCCACAGGAAGTGGACCTGGTCGAGCCCCGACGGTTCGACAAAAAATGAGATTGACTTCATTATGACGACCAGACGACAACTGTTCAGTGATGTCTCCGTGATCGCGAGGGTGAAAACTGGTAGCGATCACCAAATGGTTAGAGGCACACTGAACCTAAACGTTAAGTTGGAGAGGTCTCGTCTAATGAAGTCAACGATCCGTCCCCCTCGTGCTCTGTTCCAAAGTGCCGAAAGCTTTCAGCTCGAGTTACAAAACCGTTTTCAGTGCCTAGAAGACTGCAATGAAGTGGACGATATGAATGACAAGCTCGTGGAAACTGTCCATGCGGTCGGAGCTAAGTTCTGCAAGACCCGCCGCAGAAGAACACAAAAACTCTCCGATCACACTCTTAATCTCATGGCTGTTAGACGGGAGATGAAGCTACATTCTTCAACAGACTTGACAGCATACAGGCATACAAATAAATAACGAAAACAAAATTAGAAATAGTTAGCAATAAGAATTAACAATAAAAATAACAATAACAAGCAGAGGTTAGTCAAACCTCCCCGCCCAAAGACAGGGGGGCAAGAACTGTTAGCAGAAATGACTCTCCAAAGCGTCGACGCTGTACAGCGCGAGCAGAAGAGCGGAGGCGCGAGAGCGAGAGAGCACTACCATCCGGGGACGGATGCGCGAACTACCTGGACACGACCGCTCGAGAGCGGTGCCACAGGCGGAATTGAAGCTCGCACTCAGACCACCCGCCTTTTTATACCTCCCGCCGCGAGCCGCGTCGAGCGCGGCGACCGTTACACAAAAATAATCCTTATAGCATGATTCAGTATTCACGCGCGATGGCTTATTAGCGTATTTCATGTATAACTTTGGTGTTTCTATACCGTTTTCTATGATTATTTTTAATGAATAGACAATGTAAATAATGTCACCTTTTTTTAATTAGGGATGAGTGAGACTGTTGTAAACGTAAGAGTAGACAAATATAATCAGAAAGCTCCGAACTGCTAAGCTATAGGGAGTTACACGTGTTATTGTTAGTCAACCATAAAAGATAGACATATGCTGTCGTGGGATATTTTTTATATAATTTTAAGGAGGACAATTCCGTTATACATGATTTCTGTATAGCTTTAACCATTAAGGCGTGCAGCCTTACACGACGGAAGCTTAAAAAATGGAGTAATTTCTCCCGTTTCCCCAACATTTACCTTCACAGCTCTGCTCCTATTAATTGTAGCGTGATGATAAGTATACTATAACCTGTCCAGGAGTATGAAGAATGATTGTACCAAGTTTCGTTAAAATCTGTCGAGTAGTTTTTGTTTCTATAACGAACATACAGACAGACAGACAAATGTTTTACTGTTTGCATTTTTGGCATCAGTATCGATCACTAATCACCCCCTGATAGTTATATTGGAAATATATTTCATGTACAGAATTGACCTCTACAGATTTATTATAATTATAGATTAAATGAATCAAAATCGTTTTATTATTTACATGAAGGCAATATACATTTCCATTTGTTACTGGTTACTTTTGTGTTTGATCGTCTACGAGCCTCGTGTTGATGTCGAAATTTCCAGAATAGAAGCAATCAAACCAAGAACGCATCACCCATTAATTTGCTGTCCTGGTCCATATGCATCGTTGATATTGCGTTCCGTTTGCATGACTATACTAATTACCACAATTAAACTTGTAGTTGATAATAACGTTGTTTTTCCGGGGTCATGGCGAATTCTATACTAAAAAAAAATAAACGGCAAAACCGTGTCATGGCGATATAAAAATATCCACTGCTCCATATCATCCCGTAGGTGGCGTAAGAGGCGACAGAGGGTAACAAATCAAGAGGTGGGCAGCAGCATCTTCCTAATAACGACTAAAATAGAAGCCTGCGGTTGCCAACCCTCTTGCCAAGCGTAGCAACTATGACAAATATCCCCCCTAAGAGGCAATCTAGGGAGGCCTATGTTCAGCAGTGGGCTTTAGTAAGCTATAACGGTAATGGTAAACGACAAAAACAACAACTTATTTTTAGAAGCAACCTCAAGTACAGCCTTAATACTGAGCAAACTATTATAGAATATAGAAGATAGATAAGAAAATTGATTTAACAAGAGTGCTTTTTCCTGCCGACTTAAAAAAAAGAGACGGTACTACTCAATTTGACTGTATGTTTTTTTTATGTGTGTTACCTCATAACTTTTTACTGGGTGAACCGTTTCCGATGATTCCTTTTTTATTTGAAAGCGGGTGCTTCTCGTGTGGCCCGTTGGCTGTACAAAATTTTTAATTTTTACGAGTTATTTTATGTAGAAAGGAAAATTCACATGACAAATAATATCTATCATTTATGATTTACTGCATTCCTAACCTTCGTAAATTTAATTCCAGTTTTAATATGCATTCTTTTATTATTGTTACAGCATTCTTTTCGCCGATATCTGCGGATTCACTTCACTTTCGGATCAATGTACTGCTGAAGAACTGGTGCGCCTTCTTAACGAGCTCTTTGCCCGGTGAGTAACACAACTTACGCAGCCTTTTTTGAGAAATTTATTTATTAATAGGGTGAGTTATATTTTAGGCTCTTCTTTATAATTTTGGATGTTAGTACCACATCTACATGGCCATCATATGGATTTACTTGTTTGTTTTATTGTTTGTTTATAATCACATAATACAGAAAGGCGTAATCAATTTAGAAAATATATCTCAAAGTAATGACTAAAATGTTTATAGAGCAAGGGTGAGAAACGAGCACACAGTCCACCTGATGGTATGTGGATAGACATTTATTTTCAATTAAGAATAAACTGTCACCCCTGAGAACTAATAAGGAATGCCTCGTTACCACAAAAACGGGACCCCGGTTCTCTACACTCACCATACGAAACACAGCAGCTATTCTACGCTGGTATTCTGTGAGAGCGTGGTTCTGCCCCGATCGAGCCGACCCATTCTTGCTACAACTATAATATATATATATATATATATATATATATTACATAGGACTCTTCTTTATTCCTTTCCAAATAATTAATCTCTTATGTTAGAAAGATACCATTACCATTCCTTATGTCGTGAAAACCAAAACAGATAAGCTGACAAATTATCTGTACCTGGCTCACGAGGTGACCGGCATGTGGGTTGGTCTACCAACCTAAATAATTCCTGTGGTCGTTTCTGCGGAAGGGCTAATCCCGGTCAGACTCTCAGGTCATCTGAGGCGAGTGGGACTCCGTAACGGACCGCTCCAGGCTCAAATGCAGAAGGCGGTGCTCCTCGATACCACCCGTATCGTCCACCGGTTTCTTTCCCTTTCCCCTTAACCCTCGGCCGTTTAGTCTACCCTCCTGACGGTTTCCATCTGGTTGGGTTTTTATATATTTATGTATTTTTTAAGTATTTATTTTATTTTACTGATATTTATGTATAATTTATATATTTCGTTTACAATCATATATTTTTTTCAGATCAACCAGATGAGAAAACCATATAGATAACCCATAATAATAATTTATTGACACACACCTAAAGAAAAGTTACGCAAATTACAATTTTACAATTTGATTACTTTTGGTACAGAATACGAAATGTGCAAACAGTGATATTTGACTCCTATGCTGGGAAAGCCTTTTACAGGAGTCAATGCTCTTCATATCTCTTGTCGATATTGTACATAATATATTACTTCCAGTGTACAATAATTGTGTGTGTGTATGTGTGTGTGGGTGGTATTGAGAACTTTGGGTATGAATTCATACTGGAGCTAACATTTGTACAAAGGCATAAATTGTTGCTTTTTAGGTTTGATCATAATATGTGATTGTGGTATTGTATTGTCATTTTTGGCGTGTCTCTGACGCTGCAGCCTAGCCTAACTTCTGGTTACGTTGCCGTTATATCGGACACGGGTAGATAAAGACCAATGAGTTACTTTTTATTTGCTCATCCCTAAGGACTATTATATTGCGCAGTTGATATCTTTCAATCACTCGAAAGTGTTTACCCTGGTCAAAAATCTAACTGTAGGACATAAAATTAGAAGAAAACAAAACACAAAAGATTGTTTTAGATTTCTTCCGATTTTAATCTTGATTTTGTTACAAATTGTTGTTACTTGCATTGTAACTACTAGTAAATTCTTAGCCAATGACAACTTTTCTCGTCTTGCACACTGTTTAACGACTAACTATTTTTACATTAAATTATTGCTACCTTTGCTAATTATTTAAATTTATTTAAAATAATATAATATACGACTCTTCGATTTACCAGTAACAAAAAAGTTTATAGATTTAACATAGCAATTTTAATTTTAATCATAACATTATGTTTGATCGTATTGCAAATTAAAATACTGACTGCTAGCCTGAAGTTACCTAAATCTCATTACAGTAAAAGAACATTCAAAGTTTCGCGAGAATTTAATGATATTGCACTCATTTAACATTGTGTGGTTTTATATATTAGTAATTTATCATTTTTTATAAGTTTTAATGATCATCATCACCATCATTACAATTTACAACCCATCACTAGTCCATTGCTGAATATAGACCTGCATCTCTTACCAGGTCTTCACTCCATCTAATGGTCCTACCCCCAATTTTTAGACAGTTGGCTAAATGGTTTATGTTTAGCTTTATGGATTGTCTTGCAGTTGCTTAAATAGTTGACTTATGGTTTATAATACAGATTTATAATACAGTTGTGTTTAAATTTATTTTACGTTTGTAAATAACAAACTTTTGGGGATCATAAACCTATTTCTAAGCAAATAACGACTCAACTTACAGCGTCTCTGTATAAAGAATAAAGAGACAAATGTAAATAAAACGCAAACATCAAATCATCATAAAGAATACATCGAAACAGTACAGTGGAGACAAAACAAATATGAACGTAGACGAAATGTGTTTTCTGAACTAAACGTAAAGTAAACCTGTAGGGACCGGGTACGGAAGGTAATACATACATATTGGATGTTGTAAGATAATATACAGAAATGAAAAAAATTTAAGGAGGAATAAAAATAATTACATGTTTAATGTAATTTCCTTATATAATTTGTAATTTCCTTAAAAAAATATAATAAGTGACTTCTTATTGAAGAAAACGGGTTGATAAAGTTAAAACTAAAATTTCAGAAATATACTCAAGGGCTTTACGAATTCAAAATTTTTTTGAAGAATTATGAGTTACGGTTACAGTTACGGGTTACTCTTTTGACATGGGGTCTGAAAGTGAGCTTTGTGTCAAGGGTGACGCCTAAATATTTGGCAGACGTATGCCAGGGGACAGGGGTCCCTAGCATACGTATTGGTGGGGTGTTTTTGAGTCAGCGTCGTTTATACGAGTAATCGAAGTGAACGGCGGAGCTCTTCTCCGGGTTCACATCGATGCGCCATTTTTTGAACCAAGCTCCTAGGTCATTGACTGACTTTTGGATCTTGATCCGTATGAAAGGTAGCGAGATACCTTTACAATAGAGGGCAGTGTCATCTACGAAGAGGGAGAGCTGAACACCATTCGACGGGATGGGAATGTCGTTGGTGAACAAAATGTAATATTGAGGGATCGAAATATTTGGTTTAAATAGTGTGGGAAACTAGGAGGTGGGGGTAAAGATAAGGGAACAACATTGTTCTTGGTGTTATCGTTAACTTATTCTAAGATACAATAAGGAATGGTAAACTATAAACATTAGCATATAATATTACAATGGAGTTAGTTTGACTTCTAAGAAAGTAAACAATATGATTTAGATTTTATGTAAATAAGCAAAATAAAGTATACAGGTATTATAACATAAAGTAAATAGTATCTTATGACATAACATTAGTTTGGCTACTAAAGAAGTAATTTCGCTTTTAAGTAAATAAACAATATAAAGTATACAGGACTTATAACATGATACAAAGTAAATAGTATCTATGACATAACACGGTCGAACATGGAGCCTACGAAGTTGTAGTCAGGTGAATGACTACTTTGCCTAGTTGTTTCCATTGGCTTTATGCCAATCAATAAGGTGTGGAGAAGTTATCGCGCGTTTATGTTCCAGTTAATGCGTAGAATCTGTGGTGTACAGTACGGCTATAAATTATGTCATCCAAGCCCTGCGTACAGTCGACTTTTATAATAAGCCCAATCGTAAAAACTGTATTAAAAACCTGATTATTCAAAAAATGTACAGAAAAGAGATTTTTTTTATTATCTATATGCCACTTCCACTTCATTATTCTATATTACAATCCATCAAACCTTTTAGGCTATAGAGCGTATCAAATAAATATACATACACACACACACATACATACATATATATATATATATATATAAATATATATATATTTCACACACACACACACGCGCGCGCGCGCGCGCATACACACGCACACACACGCACACACGCACACACTCACATACGCACGCACGCACGCACACACGCTCACACGATCACACGCACACACGCACACACGCACACGCAGACAAAGGCACACGCGCACACGCGCACACGCACACACGCACACACGCACACGCACACGCACACGCACACGCACACGCACACGTACACGCACGCGCATACGCGCACACACACACACACACACACACACACACACACACACACCTCGCAGTACCAAAGATTTTTTATGTTAAACTCGTGTCCAATTTACCCCATCTTTGGTCCATAGCCACGGGAATATCTCACACACATCCGTGACATTGTTAACGCTTTTCACAAGTTGTTCTATGCAGCCTTTATACCTCCTCTTGCACAACGGATCCTTCCAATTGTGTTACACGGGGGCCATGGGGCAAGATAAACAACTACTTAGAAAACTTCCTGGCCTCAACGGCAGATCTTGTCTATGGCTCTTCCGTCAACCACAAATTTGGTGGCCCCGTCATCACCGCATGAAAGGTGTGATCCTACAACAATTCCGGATGATAGGGAGAATAGAAAAGTAAAAATTTCATCTCGCAGTGCACTATAACATTTTAATTTTATTTTACAATTTTCTCGAATCACATCTACATGATTTTACTAACGTAACAAACGGAATGGTTCACGGAGCGCGACTTTTTCAAGGAATGCAGAATTATTTTATTAATTATTACAAACCGGGTTATGATTAACCTTAAAAAAAAGCTACAACACGTTCTGCGGAAGCTCGCAATCAAATTGGGCATACATGAGCAGAGATCGTGACAGTGGTCAATTTCTTAATCTTTTGATTTGCCACTCATGAAAAGAGAAGTTATAGGTATGATTATAGGTAGTTATAAGTAGAGGAACTTCACAGCAAACACTCATCGAATCACGCCCAGCGTATTTTTTCTTGGCCGGATGTAAATGCAGTGTGCTTCCTCACAAAGACGTAAGACGGGCCGTAAGACGTAAAACGGAAGATATTACTTTTTCCCATATTTTATTGAAATTATTAAATCAATCACATAAAGTCCATTTCATTTTAAAATACATCTTAAGCTATCCTCCATTTCGACACTT